AACACTAAAGATGAAAAGAAGAAACTGGAAAATGCTTGGACTTAATAAAATACCCCAACCAATTTCATCCCAGCACACCACCAGGTAATATAAAGCAAATAGCTAAGAAAGTCATTTAAGACTTGTTTCATAAAATTTTAAGCATCACATCAATTGGTAAACGCCTATTTAGTATCTAGGTGTACCTAGGGGGAAAGAAGACAGTTATGTGAGAGCGCCACAGGTTCTATGGAAATGAACATACGAGTAATAAAGGAGACACCAGGTTTAACCACATGGGGAAGGCCAGAAAGAAGATATTAGGTAGGGGAAAAGCCAATCAATCTAGTGAAAGCCAAAGAGACTTAAATATTTAAGAACTATAACAATGGGGGCGCTGGGGTGGCTCAGTTGGTTGAGCGTCCGACTTCGGCTCAGGTCATGATCTCACGGTTTGTGGGTTTGAGCCCCTCGTCAGACTCTGTGCTGATAGCTCAGAACCTGGAGCCTGCTTCTGATTCTGTCTCCCTCTCTCTGCCCCTCCCCCGCTCACGCTCTGTGTCTCTCTCAAAAATAAATAAAATTAAAAAAAAAAAAACTGTAACAATGGATCTCTCCCCTGGTCCATCAAGTTTTTTCCAACAAAGACTACATGGCAGAGCTGTTTTTTGTTTGCTTTTTTTTTTTTTTTTAATAAAAAGTCAGAGAGAGAGAGAAGGAAAGATCTGACTGAACTCTGACATGCTCGATGATCCAGAACTCATGCCCTCAAAGCATCCTACCAGCCTTCAGTAACAAGTCAGATATACCTATACATTTTTTTAAACCTATTTGTATCTTCAGCCCATACAACTGGAGTTATTTAATGAATCATTTTCCCTAATTAGTCCTTAAACATATCTATGTATTTATTTTAGTGTACTGAAATTGAATCCTTGTATCACCCTAAGTACAGGTAAAATCATATATGCACTTTACAAACAGACAAACCACAGGACCAGGAAGTGTAAGTGACAGGCTCAAGGTTGCACCAAATGGTAAGGGCAGAGTTAGAACACCAACTCCGGACCTCTTTACCCTGTGCTCTGCTGCCTTCCCTAGAGACTTCTACTTTTATCATATCACTCATGATTTTATAGACCTGAGTCCTCCTCTTTCCAGATCAAAGTGAAATAAATTCAGTCTCTCTTCTTGCACCTGCTCCCTATTATTATTTTAATTGTTCTCTAGTGCCACTGTATCCTTTTTTCAGAGAAGTGATCAGGTACAAATGCAACATAATTGTGATACAAGAATCAAAAATATTTACTATTTTGTTCCCAATATCCAACCACATGGTATTTTATGGCAGAAGCTGTAACAGTTTACGTCCACTCCCAAGTCTTTAACTGAAATTATAACCAAAAGTCTAAAAGCTAACAAGTTTAGACTAGATAAAAATGGCATGAGTTGGCTACTAAAAAGGGTCCTATGCAGAAGAAAATAATGTCAAAAATATCAGTCAGCAAGCGCAGGGAGCCAAAAACTAGAAATAACAGGAGCCAAGTAGACCAGTGAGAAAATTATTGTTCACATAATGGGTTCATATGATGGCAACAAACTTTTCAGAAACTATTACCAATAGATCCAGCTCTTTATCTAACCACACCTTTTTGTAAAAACACACTTTGTATGATAATGTATGAACTGCCACACACTATCAGTAATCCTGACAGAAGGCATAATTATATTGCTTAACTGGCAACTCAAGGCACGCCTTCCTGTTAGAACTCGGCAGTCTCGGGAACAACCAAAACACCATTCTACCAAAATTTGAGGCTTTCTCGATGAGCTTAATTTCAGCCCAATTAATAAGTGTAAGCCACACCCTATGTTAACAGGCACAGGTTGTTTAAATTCATCTCCCCAAAGGCAGGCTAATTCAGGAGTTAGCATTATTAGAACGTACATGAACAAATGGGTGCAGGTGTTCACACTACCAATGGGAGCATTAACTCTTAACCCACCTATTAACACAGATGGCTGGTGTTTTGTGAGCTACTGGTTTTTAACAGGTGGGGTACATGTGGGGATGCTAATATGCAAAGCTGTGACACTTTGATAGAAAAAGAATGTGTTCACCTTCAGTATGAGTAGGTGCCCTCCATCATTTATCACTGAAAGCGGAAGTCACAGAGTAACTGCTCTGTTACAAAAACCACATCATGCTACCTGTTTCCTACTGCCTCAGAATATAACCTCTCAGCAGGGAATCAAGACTGACTGTTACAATCCTGCCAAATAACTAACATTTTGTAGGTAGTCAATAAACAATTAGATAACATTCCTTCCAACCTTTAACTAAACACATGTGGCACAAATCTGTTCAATGTGTCTTTTCATTTCGTATAAAGTAAAAAGCAAATCATGCTGCACCGTCTAATAAAAAGACTTCAATTTTAGAAAGTAATTATCACTATACTGGTTTCATGATTTGTCATAAGATGAATTTGTTTGGAGGGGCAGCCGGGTGGCTCAGTCGGTTAAGCATCCGACTTCGGCTCGGATCACGATCTCACGGTTCATGAGTTCAAGCCCCACATCAGGCTCTCTGCTGTCAGCACAGAGCCTGCTTCAGATCCTGTCACCCTCTCTCTGCCCCTCCCCCACTGGCACGCACATGCTCTCACTCTCCTCTCTCTCACAGAATAAACTTCAAAAAAAACAAGATGAATTTGTTTGGAAAATTCATCTTAAATTGATTAGATCAGTTTTTCTGCCATAAAATATTTACTGAGTTTGTATGAAAAAGTTAACATTGAAAAATTTACAACACATTTAAAAAAATACTACGACCACAAATCAAAATGAGCACTACAGCAATCTGCGTTCTTGAAATAACTTTTCCAGCTACTGCAAGGAAAACAACAAAAAAACTCCTTGCAATAACCCAAAGTTAGTTTGAACAAATACGTCATCCCAAAACCAAACAAACTGTATCCCAGGAGTAATGCCATAGAGAGTGAAATTCAAAGTTTAAGATGCTCTACTGAGAATAGACTAGTCACCTATCCCTCAAGGAGTTCAATCGCAGACACAGAATATTCTTGTAAAATGTAACTGGCTACAAGACATCAACACATAGTTCACCTAAAGAAGGTAGCATACTACCTGCTTAGAAAGAAAACAAAAGTTGTTAATGGAAGAGTATGCAAGAGTGAACAACTGTGACTAGCACTAAATGAAACCAGTGAACTTGAGAGGAGTTACTGTTCCACAATAACCTTTTGTAAAATTTTTTAATGTTTATTTATCCTTGAGCGATGGAGAGAGACAGAGCGCGAGCAGGGGAGGGGCAGAGAGAGACAAAATTGGAAGCAGGCTTCAGGCTCTGAGCTGTCAGCACAGAGCCCAATGCAGGGCTCGAACCCATGGACCAGAAGATCATGACCTGAGCCAAAGCAGTACATCCAACCGACTGAGCCACCAAGATGCCCCACCACAATAACCTTTTTAATATTACTGAAGTAAATTTAATATTTAATGATGGGGAAATACAAGATTATCACATCTGAATGTTTAAAAAAAGCTTGCCATTTTATTATTTAAGATTTCAAAATGCGTGGTCTCAGACCAAGTGACAAAATAAGTTCTCATGCAACGCCACTTTCATTTTTTACTTGAACAGGTGAAACAAATTGAAACGATTTTTCCATATATTTGAGCAGCCATCAGGAATATGGTCATATTTACATGTTATACCACTGATGATCACATCGTGTGTACACAAATGTATTTTTAACCTCTCAAGTCTATTTAAGAGTACTCTCAATTCATAAACACTGGAGAGAGAGAGATAGAAAAAGAGAGAGACTGCGCACGCGTGTGTATATTCCTCCCTCCCCAACCAGGGGCAATGTATTAACCTACTTGATGAAAGTAAATCCTCCATAACATTATTTCAATGGCTAAATGGCTGACGACAATTGACTCCAACACCCAAATATATTCCCTGAAAAATGAGTCAATCAGCCCACAAAACGGCCCTCCACACCAGTGAATATGTTTATATTCTCTTCTATAAATGGGATGGTTTATTTTTATAAGCAAATTTGTTGATAAGAAAATTCCAGTGATTATCAACAGCCACAGGCACTCTCCTGAGCTTACTGGATCATCCAAAGAAATGGCATGCACAGCAGAACCACAGAATTGCAAGAGCACATCAGGGCAGAAACCTGAATCACTCAGACCAAGATTTCTCAACCTGATTTCTCAAACTGGTGACATTTTGGGTCAGATAATTCTTTGTTGTGGGGACCATTCTGTGCATTACAGAATATCCTGCAGCATCCCTGGTCTCTACCCACTACATGCCAACAGCACACCCTTCCAAGGTATGACCACCAAAAATGTCCCCAGACATTGCCAAACATCCCCTGGGGGACAAATTTTGGCTTCAGAGTCTAACAACATATTACAGTGTTTCAGTTTTCAAAAGTGACTAAGTTCTGCAACACCATGAGAGTTCCAAGAAACTTCAGGCATTCCAAGTGGCTACTTTATACCAAACTTTCCTGGATCTTACAAAGTAACTGAAGCCTTATTACTGTAGATAGCTAATTCTTCCACATGTGCATGATTAAACACTCTTGTGATGATGAATCTGGGAAAGGCTGGGACAGGAGCCAACAGTGACTGGGTTTTATAGTTTCGATGAATTACACCTTCTTTTAACCCTTCTATGGACTAACCATCCTTGCCAGAGAACCTTTTTTTTTTCCCACAAACCATTTTCCCCAACACTGTCAACCTAAGACGCCCTCCTCTGGACTCTCACCATTCAGATACTGTGCCTGACCTGTCACTGTACTGGGGTCAACTCTCACCCAAGGGCTCAGGGACCTTCCACTACCAGGCCAGCCTGTCTGTGCCAGTGCCCTCGGGCCCTGCTCTCATATTGACATCCCATGCCCAGGTCAGCTGTTGACCCTTGACCCCGGCCTGACCCCGCTGCCCCCACCCCGCCCCCAGGGCGGTACCTGAAGTAGTAGACATCGCTCTTGCCGGCACTGAGCCCAGATTTTCGGATCACTTCCTCCTTCTTCCATCCGGGGGGGAGGGCCGGGCAGTCCATCCTCTTCCCGCTCTCCGTGGCCCGGGGTCCCCTGGGCCCCGGCCCCGCGCTCCCCGACGGGAAAGGGACCGGCTCCCGCCGGGGGGCGCCGCCGCCACCGCTGCCGCCGCCGCAGCCGCCGCCGTCGCCGCCA